CTTGTATATTTTACGAATAATAATTCGTAAAATATACAAAACAGTATACTCGTAGAATATACAAAACAGTGTATTTTTAGAAGTTTGAATAATTTTACCTGTATATTTTACGAATAATAATTCGTAAAATATACAAAACAGTATATTCGTAGAATATACAGAACAGTGTATTTTCAGAGGTTTGAATAATTTTACTTGTATATTTTACGAATAATAATTCGTAAAATATACAAAACAGTATATTCGTAGAATATACAAAACAGTGTATTTTTAGAGGTTTGAATAATTTTACTTGTATATTTTACGAATAATAATTCGTAAAATATACAAAACAGTATACTCGTAGAATATACAAAACAGTGTATTTTTAGAGGTTTGAATAATTTTACTTGTATATTTTACGAATAATAATTCGTAAAATATACAAAACAGTATATTCGTAGAATATACAGAACAGTGTATTTTCAGAGGTTTGAATAATTTTACTTGTATATTTTACGAATAATAATTCGTGAAATATACAAATAAAAGTCTGCACAGTCCATTGTATCATAAAGTTTCTCTATTTTTTTGCATTTGGAGTGTCTCTGATGGACACTCTATGTCGTCGGTAGTTGTAGTGTTGATCCGCGCTCGATTATTAATTCGACGACTGTGACTGGGTTAGGTTTGGAAAATCGCGGTGAATCGAGAGGAGATATCGACTTACATGGAATGATGAATCGTGGTACCAGAGGGGTTGGACCTGTTGGCCGTGGTGTTGGTCGCGGACGGCGGGGAGGATGGCGCCCCCGGGGCCCTCTTCGCGTGTTTCCTGCGCCGCGGCCTGTACTTGTAGTTCGGGTGTTCCTGCATGTGTATGACCCTCAGCCTCTCGGCTTCCTCGACGTACGGCCTTCTGTCCTGCGGGGTCAGCCCTCGCCATTTTTTCCCTGAAAAAATGCACGCGGGCCGTCCGTTAGTCGGTGCCGCAACGGTGCCACGATTTTTCGGCACGACATTGCCGAACGTTGGCTTGTAATACGCTGCTCGAAACGATGCTTACCACCGGTGTTCCTGAATTCAGGGGGGCGGCGTGAAAGGCAATAAAAAATTATATGAGTAATGGTAAAAGAGAAGAGACGGGAAGGCTGTGCAAATAGTTATTGATTCCTTTCTTTCTTTTTCTCTTCTTTTGCGGATACCTCGAGGAATACAATCGAGGCTTTGAACGTTCGATCTCGATTCTTTTCTGTTTTGTATGGTATGATGTAATTGACATGTATCGTCGTGTGTAATTGTAATTATTATTATGGTTTATTGCGATAATTGTACGATTATATTACGTGTTATTTGTAAATTGTACGTTAATTATAAAATCCTAGTCACACGTCAAGTAACGAAGTCAGGCAACTAACGTTAATTCGTTCGCACAAATTTTTGTGTTGAACATTTTCATTCCTGAGTTATTATTGAAGCCATGCAGGTACTTTTTAACTTTTATTAAAATATAAGCGAGGTTACCTATTTTTATTCTTTTATCGTGCACCACCAATTACCACTATCCGTGTGTGTTTGTGTGTGTGTGTACAACACGAAGGAACACATTTGTTGGTTTGTTGATAATTATAATGGTAAAAATATCTGTAATGGATACTTATCAATATATATAAGGAACGTGCAACTGTCGTTTCGTTCGGCGTTTATTTTTAACTTCGATTCATCATTGAAACACCACACAGTGTTTTGCAGTAAAGGCAGTTAAAGTCGGCTAAGGAAATGCTTCAATTTCCAATTGTAAAACGTTTGTCTTTTTTTACGAGAGAGGAAAAAATCTTTGAAATGTAGATTTATTGGTAAAATGAGAAACCCTACTCGAACGTTTCAATCCAGGCTGCCATGTAGGCAGATAAGTGCAGAGGCATAAACCTCGCGTGAATTTGTAATCATAAAAGACGCCATAAATTTGCAACCGGCTGTTACTTTCTTTGTACGTGGAACAGTATTCGCCGGGTTTCAAGACCCACCGCGTATGAATCGCATTTCCAATCAATTAATTAAGTGAACACGACAGTACATTAGTATAGTAGTATATTATATTGTATAATGTACAGCTTGCTTTGTACTAGCGTGAATTATAATTTTCTAATTGGAAAGTCAATCGTCGATGATCAATTTTATCGACCAAAATTTTTTCTAAATTCAACGATGTGAAATTTACATTTATTTTACTCTATTTGAGTGTCACGTTTACGTCTACAAATAATTAGGCAGAATATCGTCGTAGAGAATTTTAGTTTCAACATCAAACACAGACAGACAGTCGTGTCTCTTTGAACTTTTCAAATGTAATCTCATAATGTAAAATATCTAGCAACGTTTCTAAATTTTGGGGGCTTTGTGCAACAATTTGCTACCATCGCTCGAGCGTTGAAATCCTCCAGTCTCTGACAATGAGTCTCGGCGCGTTAATAAAACGAAACGACTCGAGTCCATTAACAAACTCAATCCAAACCCATCAGCACGATCCACGCGTTGTAGCAAATCAATCTTACACACACTCAACGCTCGACACACGGCACACTCGTCGAATCTAATCTTTCACCGCGAACCTATAAATTCTTCTGCACGTAAGATCCGCATTCACCATTCCTACATACACACACACACACACACATACATACGTACTATTGGAATCACGGTGCCGGGTAAATCTACCAAGGAGGAAGGTATCGCGGCGTTATTTCAAGGATCGATAAGACCGGCTGCGGTTCGTTCGCCGATTGGCCGGCGATACTCTTAATTCATGCTACGAGGCTTGCCCCTAATTGCCCGCTAGGTCGACGTTCGTCGTCGTCGTCGTCGTCGTCGTCGTCGTCGTGTGGTCGTGGAGGAAGCGGAAAAATGGTCGGACGAGCGTAGATACGAATTACAGGGAGGGCTTGGCCGGTCGACTTGGCCGGACGACGACGGCTCGGAATCTGCCTTAGTTGCGTTCAATATGCCCGTCCGGCATGGTAGGCCGGAATATCATTAAGCAGGGATAAGGGTTAATACGAACGTAAGATGTTCACGACAAGAACGAAAAACTTGAGCGAGGCGGATGTATATGGTGTGCGCGCGTACATATGTACACGGGATATACGGCGTATACACACCGTAGCTGTATAGGTACATAGGCGCATGGGGGCGTAGATATGGGTGCGCCCGTGCCTTCAGCCAGCCACAAGGCACGAACCATTATTTCATATTTCATTTTGTATATTTCAACTCCGGAGGAGACGCTAACCCGAACGACTCGCACACAGTGTGCCCGGGCAGAGAGGGAGAGATGGCAGCGGAATATAAAGAGGAGAAAACGAAAAGAGAGAGAGAGAGAGAGAGAGAGAAAAGGACAGATGGAAAAAGAATTATATAGGAAGATAAAAGAAAAAAAAAAAAAAAAAAAGAAAGAAAAAGGGAAGATGGTCGCGAGGTCCTCTAGCTCTCCCTGCAAAGTCCATTTTTGTCGCCCCGAGTTTCTTCTTACTTGGATCTTCTTTTTCCTCTTCTTCTTCTTCTTCTTCTTCCTCCTCAGGTTCTTCTCTTCGAGCGGCTGCCCTTTTTTGCGACACGCACTAGTACTTTTCGTCGCGACAGCGACCACGGTTGAAGAAGTAAGACCCTGCGACGTGCACGTCGAGGATTCAATGGAATCTCCTTTGTCGCCTGTCGTTCTATGGGCGACTCTTCTGCACGAACGGAAGAGGGGAAGAAGGAGTCGAGATTTCTTTGAGATTCTGATTTCTGCGTGATGAATTGCCCGCGATCGAGGGAATTACTTAGCCGCGGAAGATTTACGTCGCGAATTTGTTACTTACGTTCTTCGGGACCGTTGCAAAAAGCGATACTTGAGTTGAGAATTGTATCAGTTTGTGTTTCTGTATTTGTTTGCGAATTAATCGAGACGAAGCGCCGTCTGACAAGTTGTTTATAAAAGACACATTTGTTGTTACGTTCCTCGACAGATCCAATATTCACTCGCGAATTAGCTTGTTTCATTATAAACGATATTTGACGTTTCTCGATTTTTTTATATCATTTTAATAATCGAAGAATTGTCTGAAACTGAGACATTGTTTGAAATTAATTTCGAGAATTGACTTTGCAATGTTACAATTTAAAACTACTTCTAATGCGAACAATCTCGCTTCATAAATTTTAAATAAATTAAATTTAATTATTTCAAATGTAAAATATAAATTTTAAATAATTTTAAATATAATCTATAAATTTCAAATAATTTTAATATAATTTATTAATAAATTTTAAATAATTTTAAATATAAAATATAAATTTCAAATAATTTTAAATATAAAATATAAATTTCAAATAATTTTAAATATAAAATATAAATTTCAAATAATTTTAAAAAATTTATACACAAAACATAATTTTAAATATAAATTTAATAATATTAAATAATCTCAGGTTCCCACAAATTTCGACATTCCGGTCAGAGTACAATATACGAGAAATGTCCGTTTTAACACTTCGTAAATTGAACCAATCGTTATCACACTCGACGTTGTATAAAATAATATTCATTCGCACGTTGCTCAACCTCTTTTGTGCCATTTCAACACGAAGACACTAGCTAGAGCAACGCTGGACTCAATGTAACGTTTCAATTTACAAGGGCAAGAGTAAGTATAAGTAGACTGCATTGTCTGCAGTCTTACAAGTCTTACAAGTCTTCGTCTTTTGCAACAGTAAAGGTAAACCTTACAACCAATCTCAATCTTATAAGTACTCTCGTAAGTCTTCGTCTCGTGATGCATCACGCGTCCCATCAGACACTTTGGATTTACCCAAATATAAAAACCAAATGTTTACTACCTGTTATTCTCAACACGATGAGAATAACAGGAATAAAATGGTACCTCCTACCGGATAAAGGTACTGCAGCTGAACTTTTACGACTTGCGAGCACTTCCGCCTCTGCGTTCGTCATCGCGAAGCAACGAACATCGCCGACGAGAAGAGAAGAGAAGAGAAGAGAAGATGACCGAAGGAAAGAAGAAAACCGCAAACTTCTTTTGTCCCCGCGTGGCCGTGTGCCCGAAACTTTTTACCCTGGTCGAGCACGCGGTCGGACTCGCCCATTTGCCTCCTCCGGCTGTGTTTCGTGGAAACGCAGTGAAATCACCAAGGCGATGCATCTCGAGTCGGGCTAGAGAAGAACGGAAGAGAGGAAGAGGAGCAGAAACGGAAGAAAAGGAAGAAAGGGGTCCCGGCGCGGCGCCTGAGACCCTTTGGCCGACAATAAGTAAACTTAATTTAATATTCCAGGGCGCGCTCGCAACGGTGATTCATCATCACACCCGCGCACTACTTCCCACCATGACGTCCTCGTTAAGTATTCTAATGGTTGCCGTGTACCTCTAATTTACCCTGGTCGGACGACTTCATTAATTTCGATGTTTCGGCCAGAAGCTTCGGACACCGCGCGCACGGATCAGGGAACAAAGTTTAGGCCGTGTCCGATCAGTCATCGCGCTGATGTCTGTTTCGTCGTCTTCTAATCGTAATCCCTCTGTCCCGGTGGCGTTGGCGTGAGATTCGAAGGGATTCGACGTCGATAGAAATTCAAATTGTCGGAGTCGGTTACATTTTTTAATTGGAAATCGATTTATGGATAATTTCAAGGCAAACGAGAATTTTTCATCGCACTTGCTCTACTCTTCTTTCAAGCTTTCGAAAGTGAATTTTGTGAACCCGCAATAATGCAATTTCTATGTTCTGCGGTTGGCCTGTTACTTCAATTTCTACGTATGTATAATTCCAGATTGAAAGATAATTTTAAATTCGCAGAGAAATGTTTGAAAATGTTACAATTATTACATCTGCAATTCGGTTTAAAATTTTTCTATGTACCTGCTGCTTGTGAGTATTAATTTCAAATGTATCAATC